TTGGGGGGGGGGGGGCAGGAGGGCAGGGGAGTGAGGGAGGGGGGGGTCGACAGGGGAAGATGGAGGAGTTCCTGAAACTTTTCGGAAAGTATGTCTATGCCTGCTTCTGGGACCTCTGTTCCAACCCTTGGGGCAGTTGTAATAGTTGAGCCTGGTCCTTATATTGCAAAGACATGCTGAAAAGCTCTGTAGCCACTCTGAGGCTCGGAAAGAGACATGTCTGACTCAGAAAACGCTCCAACTCCCACAGCGCCGGTGTACTGAGAAAAGGAGTAGAGGTTGGGGGGGTGGGGAGGAGTCTCCTTGTTGTCAACTGGGTGCGGTCAAGCACTATCCGGCGTTTACGGTCTGCGGAGTTGACACCGAAGTAATCAGACACCCATCACGGCTGAACGCCACCCTTCTTCTTGCTTCTCTTCTGTGCATCCTTTAGTCTGAATCTTTTCAGAAGTGTCAATATACCCGAAGAAGCTCCATATTTGCGACCCTGAGAAATAATAAAATTGTCATATTAACAATGGTGATGTGAAATACACAACAAAACCACCAGGAAAATACTTATTTATTGATAAACTATGAAATTCATGAAGGTTTAGGGAGAGATTAAAAAAAAATAAATTCATAGTACAGAATACCTTGGCGTTTCTGAATTAGACAAAAGCAAATTATAAGGCTTGTGAACTTCGCGAACAGGTATCCGAGCAAATAGCTGGATTCAAACACGCAATCTTACCTCAAAAACTCATTTGATAACCCATAAAATATATGAGGATTTAGACCGAGAGAAAAAAGTTGCTCTTAGTAGAGACCAGATTATAGTTTCAGATTAACCAAAGAGCTTGTGAGCAAACAACAAGACCAGCAGTATGTGATACGCTCCCTGCATTCAGACAGGTCTGGGCTATGCACTTCATAAAATGGAGATTAATTCAGAAAGACAAGGACAAAAGAACAAAAGAAATGTAACGAAGATTACGATTGTCCCTTCAAAACTGCAATCATTTTCTGCTAAACCAAAAACCAACTAGTTTTTACATACCATTGAGCAAAAAATACCATCACCAAAATCAATAAGCGAATAATGCTGGTACAAAATTACATCCCTGGCTAATAACTTCAAATATATAATGAATATACTCACTCTTTTCTCTTCTCTTTTTTCTTCTGGTAGTTTGTCTTGCATCTGTCCCTGCAGAAGTTTACCCTCCATTTCCTCCATTAACTTGTTCTTGTACAAATCAGCCTTGATGAATCTCACATAACTGTCACGACGCATCAGTTGATATATCTGCAAAATAAAACATACCTTGGTTATGATATAAAGACAAATAAGAACAAAAGACAACCCCTTTATTTGTGCATGTACCAAAAACTGGCATTTGCTGAGTTGTGGTAAACGGTTAGTCGGCACGACAACTGCTATTTTGTGTTGGGAAATTGGAGAACAATAACACAAAGAAGAAGCAGGCCACATCAAAGTATCCACCAACCACATAGAAAGAAAGTTAGAGATGCTATACCAATACTGATTTAAAGTATGATGCACCCTTTCCAAAAAAAAAGAAAAGTAACTTAAAAAATTAAAAACCTTTCTCTTAAAAAATACGTATACTTTCAAATTACAAAAAACATTTCCTCATTAGCAAATGCTGTCCTGCTAACATAATAATATGTCTATTTTGTAATTGGAACAACTTGAAAGTACATTTGTAGTCATATTAACATAAGATGATACTTGCAATAAGTATAAATAATTTCAACTAGTGTCACAAGATCAACTCTCACGGACAACCACACTAAATGTCAAGATACGTACCTGCTTTTGAGCCACATCAAACATGTCGACTGTGGGATTGTCCAGAAACGTCCGCGTGTGAGAGCGAGCTGCACCATCCACATTCACGGGATCATCTGCCGTGGGGGACAAAAAGCGGCCATAGATGACTCCGGCCTCAGCGTTGCGCTATAATGAGAAACAAAATACTCATTAATATAAGACAATAATAATATTAGGTTCATGGTGATGTTATTATCATTACATAGTGCAAAACATTACGACATTGATTGGTAGGGATGTCTGTAGTGCAGCCGTTAAGCAACCCGCCGTATCACGCTTTAGACTTGAATTCGATTCTCTCAGACTTTGTTCTGGGGTATTGCATCCCTCTCAATTCTGGTTAGTGTTGACAAGTGTCGATGGGGGCGTAAATTAACTTATCTAGTGTTTTTAAAAAAATTGATCTCCCTTATGGACCTTCAAAATTCGGATTCGAACAGAGACCAAGGTACATGCACTTGTTTTATCTTGTGGGAATATTTCCTCTGATAATTATTTCCACTGTGACTGTGAAGGTCCAAAAGCTCCATCTTCGAAGTGACTTGTATTTTTGTCTAAAGGAACATAAAACTTCAACAGCTACTATTACATTATGAACTATTATTGCTAAGTACAGTTGGATCTCTTTGATTCCATTTTCATTCACCTTTAAATAGCAGACCACCCCCCCCTCCTAAAAATTTTTTTTTTTTTAAATATTAAAGCAAAAAGTGTCAGTATAGTTCAAAATTGTACTACAGACTTTGTTACTTCTTCAGAGTATCGATTTGAAAATAAAAATTCTAAACTTACCTCAGAGTCATCTGTCAGTTGACGGTACTGCTCACACGCCTTCCAAAACAAGATGTTCTCTTCGCTAAACTCTTTCTTCAAGAATTCCTAAAGATAAAAGTAATACCGATGATCATGATAGTAATAAAGTTAATAATACGAGTAGAGAAAAACTCCAACTTAACATAAATATTTCGGAGAAAAATATAGAAAGGACATCTTTCTACCAAAGCCTGTAAAAGAGAATTAAAGTTAAAAAAAAAAGAAGAAGAATTGAGTAAGACATCCAGACTCATAAGAATATAGTAGTAGCTTCCAAATTTGTCAGTATATACATTTGTTCAATATTGTTGTTAGTTAGTCCGATTGTTCGTTTGCTCATTAGTTTTCTTGTATGCTTGTTTGTTTGTTTGTTTGTTTATTCATTCATTCATTCATTCATTCATTCATTCATTCATTCATTCATTCATTCATTCATTCATTCATTCATTCATTCATTCATTCATTCAAATTTCTTTTTTTTGCATGTATTTTTTTTCTTTATTTAAAGTGATTGGGGTGTGGATTTTGAAAAAGGATAAAATAAAAGTAAACATCATAAAGGGATATAAGGAACCTACCGAAAAGACTTCAACACCGACTGGGTCCTGAAGTAGTTTGTCCACGTGTACGGCCCAGCTGGCCACCCGACCTACTGGCTCCTTCAGACCGTCACCCTGATCGCCAGTCTGTCCAGGTTTATCCTCCATTTCCTCCATTAACTTTTTCTTGTACAAATCAGACTTGACGAATCTTACATAACTGTCACGACGCATCAGTTGGTGGATCTGTGAAGTAGCATATTCATTGATTTTGATATGAAAACAAATGGGAACAGAATATGACTTAATTCTTGATCTGAGCATTTACCAAAACTATCATTTATAGAGTTATAGTAAACGGTAAGTCTGCACGATAACTGCCTTTTGTCAGTGGAATATCTGAGAACAATAATACGAAGAAGAGGCATGCTGCATCAAAACACCCGTCAACCACATGAGAAGCAAGTGAAAGATGCCAGACTAATACTGAATTAAAAGATTTTCGCTCCCATCCACACTTCCTCAAAAAATAACCCACAAAAAACTTACTTTTAACATCTTCGCCCTGACTTATAATTATTATACTTATTAACATTAATTTGCAAATATGAATATTATTGAGATGAAAATTTGAAAATGGTCACATTACCATGGCATCGTACGAGCAGTAAATTTATTTCACTACTTATGCTCCAAATCAAATCTTGCTGACAACCACACTAAGTGTCAAGATACATACCTGCTTCTGAGCCACATCAAACATGTCGACTGTGGGATTGTCCAGAAACATCCGCGTGTGAGAACGGGCTACATCATCCACATTCACAGGATCATCTGCCGTGGGGGACAAAAAGCGGCCATAGATGACACAGGCCTGAGTGTTGCGCTATAATGAGAAACAACAAACAATACTCATGAATACAATGCCTTAGAAAATAATCATATAAGGTTCATGGTGATATTATTACCATTAGATTGTGCAATACGTTACAACTTTCTTAGCGATGTGGTGCTACGGTTAATTAAGCACCCCGCCGCAGCACGCTGCAGACTCGAATTTGATTCTCATTGTCATGTTGATTAAATTCTTTTGGAGTATTTCAGGCTTTCTTCTGGGGCATTGCACCCTTCTCAGGCCTGGTTGACCCAGGGTCAAAGCCTGCTGCCTGAAATACGGGGATGGGGGGGGGGGGGGGGAAAATAAAATATCCAATATAAAAAAAAAGAAAATAAATTGACTTTCAAAATTTAGATTCGAATTGAGACCGTTGTATTCGTTTAATCTTATTGTTACATTTCCTATGATAAGTATTTCCGGTGGAGGTCTAAAAGTTGGAAGTGACTCGTATTTTGTCTCAAGAGAGAAACTTCAACAGCAACTATTACCTTATAAAGTACTGCTACTAAGTACAGTTGTTGGTTCTGTATTTTTTTCCTTTTCATTTGCCTCTAAAAAAGCTATACTAATATTTTAGAGCCTGCGTCTTAGTAACAATACTGTACATCTTAAAAACATTCAGTTAAACAACACAATTCGACTATAAAAATATTCCAAACTTACTTCAGAGTCATCTGTCAGTTGACGGTACTGCTCACACGCCTTCCAAAACAAGATGTTCTCTTCGCTGAACTCTTTCCTCAAAAATTCCTAAATAGAAAAATAACATCGATGTAGATGAGAGTAATAAAGTTAATAATACGAGTCGAGGGAAAACTCTATATAACTTGTAAATTCAGGAGCAAAATATAGAGAGATCATGTTTCTACCAAAGTGCATAAAAGAGTATTTAAGTTAAAAAAACCCATACAAAACAAAGCAAAAACCTAACGGCGTGAGGTATTAACCGTAGGTAGTTTCTTCACCGGCTAGTTTATTGGTTTGCGTATTTGGTTTTTTTGTTTTTGTTTTTGTCGATATTACATATATCTATGTATTGATCTAATTCTTTTTGAATGATTTTTAAATACATTTTAGGGGCGTGGGTGGATGTCCAACTCTGGATAAAAAAAAAAAAGACAAACTATAAGTAAACATGATATAGTTAATGATGAACCTACCGAAAAGACTTCAACGCCGACTGGGTCCTGAAGTAGTTTGTCCACGTGTACGTCCCAGCTGGCCACCCGACCTACTTGCTCCTTCAGACCGTCACCCTGATCGCCAGTCTGTCCAGTGATGTTGTCCACACTCACATTTAACAACCTAGCCTGTTTGTGATCGCCAGTCTGTCCAGTGATTATGTCCACACTCACGTTGAGCAGCTTGGACTGGGTGTTCAGACAGGGAGCCTCTTCAATAACTGGGGACTTAAGTTATGAAAAACATTAATGTTTTATTTCGTTTGTTTGTTTCTCTTTGTTTGTTGTTTTCTTCTTAGTAAATTATCAAATTCACCCTACTTTTTAAGGGGGTGTTCTTTGTTTTCCTGAGCGTAGGAATAGGGTGATGGGTTGGAAGCTTTGTTTTGTTTAGTTTTTTTTATGGTGGGTGTTTATCGACTCTTGCAATTGCATAAGGTACTATGAGGGTGCGGGATATATTAAACATTTTCAGTTCGTAGGAACTTTTGACTTTTGCACGGGTGGCGGCCGAAGCCTACTCTTATTTATGATGGACTAACAAGGGATTTTTAACATGTGCAACACTCTTAGAGGGCTTCCGAAATTATTTGCCCTTATCCGAGAAAGATAGATGTTAGATCTTACCTATAATAAGATCGGGGGTGTGGCTGAAAGACAACAATAAGAAGGAGCCAAGAAGTAGAGGTACAAAGGCTACATAAAGAGTCAGGGCCAGGGGCCAAGAGGAGGGTGCAAAGGAGTGGGTGCAGAGAGTGGAGACAAAATCAGACGAAAGAACATTGTCAGAGAGAAGGGAAGGAGGTGAAACGAGAAAAATCTAGAGAAGGAAATGTTCCAACTCTGTCTGGAATCAAACCCGGTACCTATTGACTGAGTGGTGAGCAACGTGACCTCTCCTCCACGGGGGCCCCCAATTTTTTTCCTTTTTGTCATGGAGGTTGGGGCGGGGGGCGGGTATGGCAGGTTAAAGTCCAAAATGATCCTATATGTTTGTTTTAAATTATTTCGCTACATCTTTCAACACTTTGAAGAAACAGGTTGAATACCAATCACAAACGACCGACCAAACAACTTTTTAGACGTTCGTGTTTTCACATATTTTTGAAGTTCACTCTAAAGTTCTATGAATCAATTGTCGGCGCTCGGGCAAGGTGGCAAGGTTCTTTCAATTTCGAGCTTAAGTTTATCATCCCATTGAGTTTACTAATGTATACTGATAATATGATTTCATGCTTAACATAAAACTCAAAATAAAACATGTGTTTGTCACTTCTAGATCTCCAAACAGACAAATGAGTTAAAATGCATAGGTTGAAGTTTTTCTGCGTACGAAGAATTATTTAGTTTTTAAAAAAAAAGCAATTAATCAAGTCAAAAGTCAAAAGAAGTGCATGGAATTAGGTTTTAAAATTGTTGTTATTTCTTGGAAATGTTTATGGGGGCCGTGTTTGTCAAGTAACGAACTGTTTCCTTCAGAGACGGGATTATTTTTACTGAAAGTTTGGGGAAACGTCAGTTTTTACAAGACAAGACAAGACACAATCACTTCTTTCCGTCCTAATTGCCCCCCCCCCT